CTAGACTTTATTTTAGAATTAAGTTTTATCGATTTTTTCACTCACTGTACCCCATCCCCATATTACTGTATTGGCCAGAAGAGAAGTTATCGAAAGCAACCTTCGCTTACCACTTTTTCTACTGAACATAGCTATGGTCATTTCCACAACTCTGAAACTAACTGAGGCAATCGTTCCTTTTCTGACAGTATGTCTACTAATCATAGATAATCTGCCTATTCATTCGTAGAAGAGTAAGATAACATTCAAAACCTAAACTGCGAACCCAGGAAAGTGCCAACTCATTTAGCAATCCAATCTATATATGTCTACTGCAGCCTGACCGATCTACATCGCCGACATTTCCACCTAGGTAGACGGGGTTCCGTCGTAAAATTGCGTGTCCCTGTGGATATCTACAGTGAACGGCATGTCGTACCCGCTATCCATTGTGTGCCGTCGCTCGTGCATTGGCCACCCCAACTCCTAGTCCTTTTCTCACAGTAAAAAAGCTCCTGCAGTAACTTCTCTGATGACGCCAAGAAGCCTGAGCATGTGTAGCCTTAATGCTGTCACTCACTCATGATCTTAATGCTTGACCTTGGGTGACCTCGAAGTGTTCCTAAGGTTATGACAACTGTTTCTTGCGCTGGCATGTTCGCCTTCTCCCTCTCCCCGACCTGCCATTAATTCCACAATTTCCTGGTAAATAACGCACTTGGATTTTCTGACTCGCCCCCAGTTACCACTACCTGAGGACCTTGTCGGTCTTAGACGTCGCCACTCCAACCGGCTCAACCGAAGGCACGATCACCAGCCCATTACGGTATTCGTTAACGCCTCACACTTCCACCTCGCTTGTCAGTCTAAAAATTTTGCCGCCACCCAGATTTCTCTTCATCGTTCGGGTTATATAATAAAGCACATGCGTGTGTAGTCTTCTACAAACTGCAGGAACCGCCAACCCTACGACATGGTGTGTTAGCTTTCTGATCGAATTTCACGACAGTGCGAATTCCTCTAACTTCCACCTGAACACACTTCGCATCTTCGGTAAAGCCCTGAATAACACTCCAGGCAAACAGCTAAGTTGGCATACGATCCCTTAGAGTTGGAACCGACTAACTTGGTAATCAGCGCAACTGGAGTCTTATTACCGCGTTTGGCGTTCGTATGCTCGCCGTTTGTATCTAACTGGTGAAGTTAATGTAAAATCTAAAGAGTACATTAAAACGTGCCGCGTTCGGCAGAAAAGGCTGATCATGAAAAACTGAATTCGAAGAGCGATTTTAATCCGGAGTAGGAGGCCTCGGTGTCTAGTAAAGACAATTCTACCAGCCCATTTACATAGTTCTGTCGTCACCCATGTTACACTAGCAAAGCAAAAATTAATGATGCTGACAAGTGCGCCACTTCCATTCATACGCAGGATACAGCCAATATCAATGTCAGTTCGGAAAGCCGGTTCGGACTTAGACAACGCTTAACAAAAAATGAAACTTAACTGCATAGTTTAGTTGGTGTGGAGTGTAAGGAAGTAAGATGATACATAATTTTATTTAGCAACAATAAAGATTCTTTCATGGAGGTTAACACAATATCAAAAAAATCCTAATGATTACCGCCGTTGGTCGTATTCTACGTCCACTGCGACTTCTGCTGAAAAGACTTCGGGTAAACATATTACCACAAATACTAATAAATTAATTACTAAATCATCTGCCACCAATATAATGGCATATACGTATACGATCATTAACGCTGTAACCATTACTAGTTGTACGAGTACGACCATAAAAATTACTCTACGAGTATTGCTACTGCAAGCGGGGACTGTCAGTAATACAACTATCAGCACAACTGCAGCAATAGTACTACTGCTACTTCTACCGCAAACAATACTACGGTCATCGAAAACTGAAATTATTGTCACTGCGGAAACTACTCGTAAGCTATTTGCCATTACGGCCGGCTTTGCAATTACTACGACAATTGTGCAGATGGCTGTGGAAGCCAATAAGACTAGTAGTCATATCAATATGACTACCATGACAAATGCCTCTATTAATGCTACATGCGCCAACTGACAATACTAATCCGACTTCTACTTAAACTTATGCAACCCTAACCACAAAGCGATGCGGTTGTTAGTGCGAATGCCGATCAAACTACTACTAGCGATAATATTGGGACTACTGTCAATAATGCTGAAACTGTAGGTGGTACTAAGACGTATATCTCTGCAGGAAAGGTGACAAATGCGACTGGACCTGCCCCTGCCGAAATCGATACTATTAAACTACTACAAGTACGAAAAAGGCAATAACTACCTGGACGACATCTGACCCCATAAGGCCACTATGTGGACCATTGCAGATAATTTTACCACGCGCAGTTCTGCTGTCTCCACCTGTAAAAATATTGAAACCATTATGACTACTGCTTTTTATACTAAACCTGCAATTATTACTAATTATGCAAGAACATGTACTTCTACGAAGTCAACTACCGTGACTGGTTGACATTCCTGTCATTACTAGTACAAACGCTAGTATCAGAACCATCACTACTACTACTACTACTACTACTACTACTACTACTACTACTACTACTACTACTACTACTACTACTACTACTACTACTATTACTACTACTACTACTACTACTACTGCTACTACTACTACTACTACTACTACTACTACTACTACTACTACTACTAATACTACCGCTACAACTACAACTGATACTACTACTGTCACCATCAACACGATTACTGCAAATACTACTACTGCAACAACTGTAAGCACAACTGTTACTGTTGCCATTGCTTCTACCACTTGTTGTTTTCACGGTAGTTAATACTACTACAACTCTTACTTCCACCAAGTGTTACGCCCGCAACGTCCGAATAGAAGTCAAACGGCACGTGTACCACTCCCAGCAGTTCATAGACGTTACTAAATGTCGTTAATGCTTGCATCAGCGTGACTACTTAAACAATAACAGGTGCAAGAACTACTACAGGGAGTAGTACTATTAATGCTACGGAGGATACTATCAGCACGACCAACGTTACTAATAGTTATGCAGCAAGTACTATTGTCAATAATAATTTTGTCACTAATAAAAAGACCACCGCTGCTGCTGGTAATGCTCCAGCCGCTAGTTTGATTAACAAATCGGGTACTGCTACATAGACACCAGCAACTACTATTACTAATGATGTGTACACCAATACTGCCAATACTACTGCGTGTAATAATGAAGTGGTGTCGGTACAAAAATTCCACAACTGCAACTACTACCATTCAACGCTTCTTCTACTACAATTGCTACAATTTAATCAACTACTACTACTACTACTACTACTACTACTACTACTACTGACAGTTCGACCATCGGTTTCGATGATGTCCACCGTGTGCCCCACAGTTGCAGCAGCAATGAGAGCAGGGACGGTGACTTACGCAGGGGTTTATAGTGCCAGTAGACTTGCGTAGCATCTACCTACACTCTCTCCTCCCTCGCCCGAGCCCGGTGTCAAGACAGTGTCAACAAGATCGGAGACGAGAGAGGCCGCAGGTGGATGGCTCGGACGGATCCTCACCTTGGCGTTCCACCACACCCCCTGGTCCACACAACAAATAACCAGGATTTCAACCAACACAAGAGAGATTTGGAGGCTGGCACAGCCGAAGCCGCACCTGGGCGTGCCGCCAACGCCTGGCTCGGATCCCACACTGTGATGGGAGTGCCATAAAGGCCACACTAAAAAGGAGTCATTGCAGCTTGACTCACAGACCGCCTCCAGTGAAGGAGGAGGTCCAAGGTACCCCGTCAGTTGGCAACCTTCCAAGCCACGGCTTTCAGCGCACCGTGATAGCTTCAAGCGCGTCAGATTATTTATAGTGAGGAGAAAGTGCGCTGAGTCGTCGACCTCACTCTCCCTTCCCACTCCCACACCCCAGCCGCTGTCCGAGCCGGTCAGCAGACTGGAGTGGGGAATGGGCGCGGTGGCTGTCATGGTCGACTGACCATGACTGCGCGCGCCACGGCACGACCTGGCCCCCCATACACACAAAACCAGGATTTCACACAACGGTGTTTGAACGGCGTGTCTCTCACTTGCGTGAGAGTGTCGTGGAAGGTGCTGTTTCAGCCCGTCCCCAGCCCACCAGTCGGCCATTTCACACAACACCACACAAAACGCGACGAACTGCGTGAACCGAGAGCGGGCGTCAATCAGCAACCTTCCTGTCCACGACGCTTGAAGTGTCGGGATAGTCTCGGACTCAAGTCACCCGTGCAGCCGAAGCCGCATGGGGACCGAGTCGAGATGCGGACTTCCCACTTGCGTAGGAGGTGGCAGTTGGGTGCATGAGGTTTATGAGTGTTGATTTCTGGTGGGGTGATGGTGGTGGTGGAGGAGGTAGGGAGTGAGTGAATGTGTGGTGTGGCCGGCGGTTGTCTACCGCAGGTCGTCGTGGATGTGCATGTGGCCGAATAGGCTCATGCGATGCCTGAAAGTGCGAGGACAATGTGGGCAGTTGAGACGAGCTTGGTGGGTATAGGTGGGTGCTCCAGGCACTGGTTCGCCAGTCTCTGTGCGATGGGTTCGCAAGTGACCGACGAGGCCGATGCGTGAGGTGAATGTGCGTGGACAGTGTGGGCATGTGAAGTCGGCGGTGTCAGTGTCAGCTACAGAGGAGGCGGCGGTGGTGGTGGTGTCGCGGACGGATGGAACGAGGGTGGGGGTGTGCACGGTGGATGTGTTGGATGTAGTGGGTGTGTCGGGAGTGCGGTCAAGGCCGCTCTCGTGGATGCGCATGTGGCCGAAAAGGCCCATGCGATGCCTGAAGGTGCGAGGGCAGTGTGGGCAGGGGAGGCGAGTGCGGTGGGTGTAGGTTGGTGCTTCACGCACTGGTTAGCCAGTCTCTGTGCGATGGATTCGCAAGTGACCGACCAGACCGATGTGGGAGGTGAAGGTACGGTCGCAGTGAGGGCAGGTGTAGTCCTGATTCTCATCCCTGGAGTCGGGGGAGGTGGTGGTAGTGTCGGTTGCCGTGCGCGGGACAGTCGCCTGAGCGGCCGCCGTTGGAGCAGTGGGCGAGGAGGAGGAGGAGGAGGAGGATGAGAAGGAGGAGAATGGTAGAAGTGATGGATTTAGAAGAATTGTCAGGGTTAGTTGGTGGCGGAGAGGAGGAGGAAGAGGCAGGCGGGGGGACGATGGTTGGTGCCGTTCGAGAGGCGCAGTTAGTCCGAAGATGTCCAACAAGTCCGATTCGAGCCCGGAATGTCCGCTTACATCGAGGACACGTTGGAAGCGGTTGTGCGGCGGCGTTGCTTACTGGCCGAAGTTGTGATTTGCGGGCTTCACGTTTCGCTTTGGCGGCAGCGATGCGGTTGGCTTTGTAGATCGCAGCGCCTGTCTTCACTGTCCTCCTCCAGGCCGGTCGATCGAGTGCGAGCTCCTCCCAGTTGGTGGGGTTGATTTGCAGGCATTTCAGGGAGGACTTCAGGGTATCCTTGTAAAGGTGAATCTGGCCCCCTTCAACCCGTCGCGACGTCTCCGTAGAAGAGTCGTTTGGGTAGTCGCTCGTCGTCCATGCGCACCAGGTGGCCGCTCCAGCGCAGCTGCATTTGTTTCAGTATGGCGTAGATGCTGAGGATTCCTGTCTGTTCCTGCGCATCAGTGTCGGGGATTCGATCCTGCCACTTCAGCCTCAGGATGCGACGAAAACAACTGAGGTGGAAGTGGTTCAGACGACGTGCCTGCTTGGCGTACACCGTCCAAGTCTCCGCTCCATACAGTAGTGTCGGCAGGATGACGGCCTTGTACATCTTCAGCTTGGTGCTCATTTGAAGACCATGACGATTCCAAACTGTGCTTTGGAGGCGACCGAAGGCTTGACTGGCTTTCGAGATCCTGTTGGCGACTTCGTTATCAATCTTGGTGTTGTGGGAGAGGGTACTGCCCAGGTACGGGAAGTTATCCACCACTTGCAGTTGGGTCCCATTCACGCTGATTTGCGGCGGCACGTTGGGGGCTGTGGCCGTGTTGGGTGGCGGTTGGTGCATCACCACCGTCTTCTGTGTGTTGATGACCAGACCGAAGTTCTCGCAGGCGGCGGAGAACAGGTCCATGTTCCGTTGCATCTCCTCTTCCGAGGTGGCGTTCAGGGCGCAGTCGTCGGCGAAGAGGAGTTCGTGCACGGTGGTTGGGGATACGCGCGATTTGAAGTGCATCCGCCGTTGATTCAGGAGGTGACCGTCCGTCCTGTAGGCGATGCGGATCCCGGGGCGTTCGTCGCGGTAGGCGTCCATCAGCATGGCAGAGAACATAAGACTGAAGAGGGTAGGCGCCAGCACACAGCCCTGCTTCACTCCGTTGGTCACTGCGAATGCCTCTGAGACAGCTCCGTTGTCCGTGACTCGCGCCATCATACCGTCGTGCAGCTGACGCACCATCTGAGTGAATCGCTCCGGACAGCCGAATTTCTGCATGATCTTCCACAGTCCTTCACGATTCACCGTGTCGAATGCTTTCGTCAGATGCGCGAAAGTAGAGTACAGGTGGGTCCGCATCTCCTGACACTTCTCCTGAAGTTGGCGGGCGGCGAAGATCATATCCGTGGTCCCACGATGACGACGGAAGCCGCATTGGCTTTCCGGCAGAAGGCCCTGTTCCAGGTGGTTATTGAGGCGGTTAAGGAGGATTCGTGCGAAGATCTTCCCGGCGATGTTCAGCAGGAAGATGCCGCGGTGATTGTCGCAGACTTGGCGATTCCCTTTTCGCTTGTATAGGTGCACGATTGTTGCGTCCTTGAAATCTTGCGGGTTTTCGCCCTGACGCCACATCTCTTGGAAGAGCGCAGTCAGGTGATCCATTAGTTGGGGACCTCCGTGCTTGTAGACCTCAGCAGGGATTGCGTCCGATCCGGGTGCTTTCCCGCTGGAGAGCTGCTGCACTGCTCTGATGGTCTCCTGGAGAGATGGCGGGAGTTCGAGGTCCACGTTGGTCTCCACTTGCGGCAAACGCTCGATGGCGGCGTCGGAGATGACGGAGGGGCGGTTGAGGACGCCTCGGAAATGCTCGGCCCATCGCTGAAGGATTTGCGTCTTCTCAGTCAGGAGAGTACTGCCGTCGGCGCAGAGGAGAGGAGCGGTGCCCTTCGTCGGCGGACCGTAGACAGCTTTGATCTCAGAGAAGAAGTTCTTCCATTCGTTCCGGTCCGCGTACCCTTGGATCTCCTCAGCTTTGCGAGCAGTCCAGGCGTCCTGCATCTCGCGCACTCGTTGCTGAAGTTGGCGGCGACTGCGGTAGAAGGCAGCTTTGGTGGCATCAGTGGGGTGATCTACGTAGGCTTTGTGGAGGCGGTTCTTCTCAGCTATCAGATTTCTGATGGCGGCGTCGTTGTCGTCGAACCAGTCCTGGTGTTGGCGGGGAGCGCGACCGAGGACGGCGAGCGCCGTCGACTGGACCGTGTCTCGCAGTTGACACCAGCGGTTCTCCACGGAGGCGTTCTCGGCGGCGGCGGCGGCGGCAGCGTCGTCGGCGGCGGCAGCGATAGGAAGGCTGTCTAGCCGTTGAGCTAGCTCATTGCTGAAATGGAGACGGTGAGCAGGCAAAGACAACAAAGCAACATTCAGCTTACCTGGGGGTCGCTTACCTTGTGGTCTCCTGCGAGGCTGTAGGCGAATACGCATCTTCGAGATGACGAGGCGATGGTCGGTCCACCCGTCAGCACCCGCGATCGCCTTCGTCACCAGCACGTCCCGCTGATCTCGCCTCCGGACGAGGACATAGTCCAGCAGGTGCCACTGACGCGACCGAGGATGCCTCCAGGTGGCCTTCTCTCGCACCGGCAGACAGAAGAAGGTATTCGTCAGGGTGAGGCGGTGTTCTGCGCAGGCGCGGAGGAGAAGCAGACCATTGTCGTTTGAGCCGCGGAGACCGTGGGGACCCAGCACTCCTCTCCAGGTAGTATGGTCTGTGCCGACGCGGGCGTTGAAGTCGCCAAGGACAATCAACTTGTCCGCCTTCGACACAGTCGCCAAGAGGGCGTACATGTCCTCGTAGAATTTGTCTCTGACGGCGTCGGGGTTGGTCATCGTCGGAGCGTAGGCGCTGATAATGGTGGCGAATTTGCCTCCCCGGAGAGGCAGGCGGAGGCTCATCAGGCGATCGTTGATGCCCTGCGGCAAACAGGGCAGTCGTCCCACGATGTCATTCCGATTGGCGAAGGCGACGCCCGCGTCCCGTCGCTCTGCCCTGGGTCGACCGCTCCAGAAGAAGGTGTAGCCAGCACCCACCTCCTCCAGTTGGCCTTGTTCGGAGAAACGGGTCTCGCTGAGTGCGGCGATGTCCACCTTGTAGCGCGCCAGTTCTCGTGCCACTAGCGCCGTCCTCCGCTCCGGTCGGTTGCTCCTCGGATTGTCTAAAAGGGAACGAACATTCCAGGCTGCCAGAGTGAGCGCGCTCACCCTGCCAGTCTGGTGACAACGAGTGGGGCGACGGGAAGGAGATGGAGGAGAAGATGACGAAGGAGAAGAAGAGGCAGAAGAATAGACGGAGGTAGGATGAGGAGAATGAATATGGTTGTTGTTGTTGTTGTTATTGGTATTGTTGTTGTTTCGATTTTGATTGTTTCGACCATGTTTAGACGTCTGCGGCCCTGGCTAGCCTGGAGACGGCGTGGTACCCAGCAATGTTTAGGCCACCTTTTCTAGGCCCTTCCCCTCGTGGGGGCTGGCAGTGCCATCCCTGAATAGGGCTGCCATGTGCCGTTGTGGCACGGCCGAACTCCACTATGGGACCACGACTTCGGGTTGTAGTGGAGAGCGACTCGAATTCGCCGTAAGCCGCGGTCTCCGTCGGCGAGGGTGGGCGCGTCAAGGCGATGTCGATATGGAGATCCATCCCGTCACCGGCTGTCAAGCGACGTGCAGAGACGAACCACGTCACGACGGTGCCGACGCAAGGTTCCATCCGACCTTCCTTCCAGCGGAATCCGCAAACCCTGTGCACACGGCACAGCGCACAGGGCCTCCTCACCTGGTTTAGCCCGCCGGTCGAGACGGTTGCCCGGGGTGTGGCCGTTGAGCAGAGCCCAGCTACTTGGAGCCACAGGTGAGAGTTGAGTGCCAGCAAGTGGACGCTAGGCGCAGTCTCACCTGCAAGCAAGTGAGCGACCACCACGACCATTACGTGAACCCACCGCTAACACCCCTACACCCCACTACTACTACTACTACTACTACTACTACTACTACTACTACTACTACTACTACTACTACTACTACTACTACTACTACTACTACTACTACTACTACTACTACTACTACTACTACTACTACTACTACTACTACTACTACTACTACTACTACGACTACTACTACTACTACTACTACTACTACTACTACTACTACTATTATTATTATTATTATTATTATTAATACTACTGCTGCTGCTTTTGCTGCTGCTGCTGCTGCTGCTGCTGCTGCTGCTGGTACCCCGAAGATCATTGGCGCAAATCTTTCATGAGCCATTTTAGTTGGAGAGACTGCCGTCTTAAAGAAAGACAGAAAATATCTGCCCGAAATGTAGGCGTGGGTCTCGAACCAGTGTCAGCAATTATCGCCTTGTCAGTCCAAACTGTATCTGATGCAAGGTAATGGAATTCATAATTAATAGAGCGACAATCAAGTTCAAGCAGCTAAAGCAATTACTTTCAGACCTCCAACACGGTTTCAGAGACAGCCGTTCTTGTGTTTGCAGATTTACTCTCCACTGAGCATCGAATTCATGCACTGGAGGAGAATGGTATGGTTTAGGTCTTCTCTCCGAGTTATAAGATGGCGTTCGACAGCGGTCAGCACAAAAGTCTTACTTATAAGCTAGTTGAAATTTGAATAAGAGGCAAGCTGCTTTCAGAGATCGCAGAGGAACCGAAAGGGAGATCTCAAACCGCTAACCTTCGAGCCCTGAAGTCAACGCCTGCCTCTATTTTAAGTGGTGTTCCCAGAACTTAATCCTCGGCCGATACTCTCCCTAGTCTACAAGAGCGATTGTGTCAACAACCGGTGTCGCCGCGCCGTAACGTTTGTTGACGATGTTATACTATAGGGATCCATCAGGTAAAACCCGAATAGGCACACACTGAAAGGGAGTTTTGAGCGAATTAAGAACTGGTCTGCTCGACAGCTCCCAAATTTTGGCGTTAGAAATTGTTAGGTCCTAATGTCTGTGCGAACAAAACCGTCGAGGAAACCACTCCTTCCCGACTACTTTTTGATGGGTAGTCCCTTTCAAGTGTCGGGAAACAAAAGGACATCCCTGCCCAGACTATCGTCCAGAAGTTTGAAAGCAACGAAAAGCATGAAGCAAGTGTAATTTGCGTCGACAAGAGCGTTTGTACAAAGTAACAATTAGTAAAAACTACGAAGAATTGGTTAAGTCTCATTTGGAGTAAGCTAAACAGGCCTGGCGTCCGTTGCTTATGAAGGATTATCCAATGCAGCAACGAATACAGTCCAGGGCTGTAAAGATGGAAGTAAATGTTGCTCATCTGTCTTACTGATCCCGACTGGCTGAACTCAATTTTTATTTATTCATTTGACTCAAGTGTAAAAAATGCAAAGACCTCAATGATTTCCACGCGTCAGAGTAGGCCGAACAGGTAGCTTAGCACAAATATGGGGCTTTGTAGATTAGGTGGTTAGTGAGTGGTCGGTTTTGAAGCCTTGTCCTTGCTGTCCTGGGTTAGGATTCCACCTAGGTCGTGGAATTTTTCACAATTGGGCCAAATACCTACCCAAATCTGCCTAGACACTGATAAATTCATTTGTTTTATTCTAAATTACAGTCAAATGCGCGGTGATCTTGCGGTTCCCATGTTGTCTTTATCCAAATTAGGATTCGAATCACCAGTTCTTTCAGGGTCCCTCACTAGGTGGTCAACTGAGAAGGGTTCTCTAATGGACAAAGCATGTGGCTCGGTAGGCGTACTGGCACAATATCCCAAAGGCCATCTGTCAACAGGGAGGATACGGAGAGCAGTTTATTAAAATTTAATGACAAAAAACAGAAAAATGGGGTAAATACGGTATAGTAACATCCTTGATTAAGGTTGACCAACAGAGGTTTCATTGACGATATAATATCGATCAGTATTTCGCTGAAACAAAGGGACCGTAGAGCTGGAGGCCGCTACTGGAGGTGGGATGCGACCCCGACAGATGATCTTGAAAGCACACAAAACCCAATCCGGGACAAAAGATCTTCGTAAAACCGAAAGCAAGTTTGTTCACTGCTGCTGCATCATAGTCTCATTCAACGTACCGGATTGTTAGAACACATGAGTGGCCCATTGTTACAATTATTTTTCCAATTGTCTAGGACCGACCGCCTGTGCGATCATCCCTCCAAACGACAAGGAACGTTGGCTCATACGGATGTCTGACAGAACGCTCCTTGCAGGACCTGTTGGAGCATGACATGACTCCCTTCTGAGATTTCATAAAGTTTTCTCCACAGGCATCAAACCATTGTCTTTTTAGGTAAAGACCGGGCCGCCAATTCTGCCCGAAAGTATACTTCGATCTGTAAAAAAGGGCCTTAATTGCGTAGCTCTTTTACGGGGCATTTGACATAAATGGAAAGGGAGATCGAGGCGGAAGGCAACTCATTCACCTAGGTGCTCCCTCAATATATTACTTCCCATACTCGATGTGTGAACATGTCGTGTTTGTTTTTCAGGTGAAAAGTCGAAATATTAAGAGAACATTACGTTCTTAAACTCTTGCAGATGTGTCACAACATTCAGGGATCGAGAAAATCGAGCTAACACATTCCGAACTTTGACACCTACGACCTATCTGAAAGCTCAGAGGATGGTAATTGGTGGGCTAGGTAGCGAACATTGCGTTGCCGGGCTGCATATTCTTTCCAGGGAGACGACTGGGTGTTGGGATTACCGGGTCATGTTTAAGTGTTTACCATTCATCAAAGGCTGTGGAACTCACCTCGAAAGTTTCGACAAGCAACACAGTAGTCTTTCATCAGTACCTGATGATGTGCTGAGAAACTCGAAGACGCTGGAGGAGTGTCGGCTCGATGCAAACCAGATAAAAGATTTGCCCAATGTGAGGGTCTTTGACACCATTAATAGTCTATCTGTCCTTGAAAACCCAAATTCATATTATTTTATACTATTTGTACAGAGCCTTTTCCGCTTGGAGAAACTCAGAGTCTTTTCGATAAGTGACAACGAGCTTACGAAGATACCACCGCTTATTGGAAATTTTATAGACCTCGTGGAGCTAGACATCAGCCGCAATGGTACTCTTTGATTTGGCATTGCTATCTTATAGATATAAACGAGCTTCCAACAAGTTTAAGGTTTTGCAAGTCGTTACAGAAACTGGATATTAGCAACAATCCGCTTAACAGGTAAGTTCGACATGACAGTTGTCTACTTTGACAGTCGAGTCACCGCATCCTTAATCATATACTTTTTCGTAACGCACGACACTGTACTCTGAGTTTATAGACGTCATCAGTCTCCGTGTATTCCTTACTTTTGTGTCCCACTTGAAGTCTCCTTTATTTGTCGAATTTTCTCCCACTCGACTACCTAGTCTTCTATAATGATGTTTTTCATGGGAAAATTATCCCCATTTAAAGTATAAAATAACGTCAAGTATTTTCCAGACTTTACCCCTTCTCACTTGTCCTTGTTTAATAAGTCTTTACCATGAAACACCACATCTTTCGGCCGGTTACTTCCCATTGTTTCCTCAAGTTCAAAATTCCCACTTTTATCGGTATTTTTTTTTTACCGAAAGGTAGCACATACTGACTCGTATTTCGCCTTATTTTGCCATGAAAACTTGGTTCTAGAGGCAGAATTCGTGAAGATTTTGTTGATAGTGGTCGCCCACAGGGATGATTTTCTTGATAACCTGACTAAGCGTTCACTGGCCGCCGTATTCCGTTCGAGCGTTCCGATGTTCGTTTGCGTGTCTCGACCTGTACAGAATAGGATAGTTTGCCTACCTGTTTACATAACCCACGAGCACCATCAGACATCCCCTAGTACACATTTCTGGGTTAAAGAGTGTGGTTAGTGAGCCAATTGAATGGGCGTTGGCAGCGCGCCATACATTTCCAGACTGACAAAGTTAAGAAACTTATCCTGATGATTGCCGACCAGTTAATAAGGATTTAACGCACCGCAAATCACTTTTATCTCCTGAAACATCGCCACTTAAACTGATAACTCCGTTAGTAGTTTTTACACGTATTTATTGGATGTCTACATCTTAAATCTCACTGGTTGCCTCTTCTTTGCCAGTGTTCAGGCTATGCATGGTAAGTCCAAGGAGCAAGAGTGTCCAATAGAGTATGGAAATTACCGTTTGAGTGTTAGCCGTCCTACTGTACTACTGAAAGTTCCTTGGGCGTCTCTTTTCCTCTTTAATGAGCACAGTCTTTCTTCATTGACTTCAGCCTTCCGGAAGGATTCTCCCAGCTTGAAAATCTGCGGGAACTTAACCTAAATGACGTGTCGTTATTTCAACTTCCTCAGGATTTCGGAGCGTAAGTTCTCAGATTTGTCTTTTCATCGATACGCGAGATATTCACCCCATCTGTTAAGTCATTGGCCTGCACCCGTATTTACTCGCACGTATTTCCTTGCGCATAGCGCTCCCCCACTTGAATTAATTTTTGCTCTACAACGCTGCAAATTTTCATTGTAATTTAAATGTATGAGGGAGGTTTGCTGTCCACCGTCGCGCAAAGGCCGTAACGTGGCGCATCGTACACAACCAGCACGTCTTCCCCGACAAGAACTCGTACTAGACCACAAACATTTATTTACGTATAAGACATGGCTGTCCGCTTTCTTCTTGTGCCCTAACCTTGTTTTTGTTTCGAGCAACGCGCTTTCGCCCACGATGCAATTCCGCGGTTGTAACTCATCAACTTCATATGCTTACGTATTTTATCCCGCGTAAAATAAACACGCTGTACGCAGCCTGCACAAACTTTTTGCTAATGCTTTCCAAATATGTCGAAAGGTCGGTCCAAGTCATCTCCTGATAATCCCGTTTTTCAAGTGATTGGCACACTTAGTGAGATTCGACAGAATAGGAGCATATACCTAAAGGGTGCGAAATATCCAAGTTGACCGTATTTTACGG